AGACAATGCATGGGTCAGGGTAATTGGAGGAGGAACAACAGACACAACAAAGGGAATTGGAGAGAGGCTGGAAATAGCCCAGGATCAATAACTGGCTGACAGCCAACGCCTCCCTAAGCCAGAAGGAACTCTTACAACAGGTCCCCAGAGTAGACCCCTGCCCATGTTTCCCCTGCTTGTGGGATGCTCCCTTTTTCTTTCCGTCACCCCAGTCCCCTGCCCTTCCCAGTCTCTTGGGAATGAGGCTGACCTAGGGGGTATGCACCAATTCCCCAGTAAAGCCCTGGGCGTGCTGGAGGAGGGTGCATCTAGGCGGCTCTTCTACCCTTCCACCTTAGCCCAGCCCCGATTTCCGGTGAATCGGGTCTTCCCTACTTTCTTAGTTTCTCTTCCCGTCTTGCAGTTTACTTCTGACCTCCCCACCAAAGCTTCAGCTCCCAACCCCAAGGTTTCAGCTGGAACCTACCCAGGTTAATCCTCACCTGGGGTGGGCGTCCCCAGTGGGGAGCCCTGGCAGCCGTCTGAGGGGCAGAGTGCTGCGGTTTCCATGTCCGTTTCCATGTCGGTGTCCGGGTCCGTTTGCATCAGTGTGCGTGTGCAGCCTGGTGGCTTGCAACACCCGCTCCTTCCCTCAGCAGCAGTGTCAGCTTTTCCTTTTAAATGCCACCCCCACCAAAGCTCTCCCCCCTAAACACCTGGGGAAATTGTACCGCCTCCTGATGAGGTCACACATGCTAATGAGCAGTGATGTCAGCGGGATTCCCTCATTTCTACCTCCCCATTCCCTTTCCTTTGTGTCGCTTCCCTCAGGGAGGGTGTACACACACACACACACACACACACACACACACACACACACACTCCTTCTGCAGAGACTGGTTAAGGTAGGAGCAGAACAAAGAGGTGTAGAGATGGGGTTCAGAGAGGTGGGGATCAGTGGACAAGGGAGCAAGAATGGCAGGAGTCAGGGACCTGGAGCTTGGTGGCTGAATGGAGTAGCAAAAGGCTAAAAGCTGATCTGAAAGACAAATGAAAGTAAGCCAGAAGAGATAGATACAGGGGCAGGGGAACAGTCCCATTCCTGAAGCTTCCATGCCTCCCTTTCCCTTCCCATCCCACCTCTTCATAGCTAAGACCCACAATAGTGCCCATGTCTCAGCCTGGCTTCAATGCAGATGGCATATCTGAGGAAGGTGAGAGCTGCTTTTTTGCTGTTAGAATCTAGTGGATTCAAACTCCTCCCCTTTCTCGCTGGCTAGATCCTTCAATCCAGTGTTAATCAAAGCAGAAAGAAAAAAAAGGAGAAGTGAATCTACCCCTCTCAAAGGGAGGTGGGAAGGGTGAGAGAGGAGGACTGCCAGCCCTCCTCCCATCGATTTCTGGGGTGGCCACTAGCCTTCTAGCTGCAGATATCTACTTCTTTGTGGCATCAGGAGTGGTGGGTCTTTACTACTTCTTCCCTGTCCAGTTCCTATGTTCTCTGATTCCCCTCTTGTCCTCTTCCTGACACTCCTAGCACCCCGGCACACATTTAGATTTTCTCTCCCCTTGTCACCCAGTTTGTATCTTCCTGCATTTTCTCCTTTCATTGTCATGACCCAAAGTCTCAGAGTGGTAGGTCTTGTCACCAAATCAATCATGCAGCTAGAAATGGGAACACCAGGATTTCCACCCAAATCTTTCCAATGCCAGAAAGTGTTTTTCATCTCTATTCTGTGCTGCCTTCTTTGTCTCAGATATTCCAACTGTCTTCTATTAATGGAAGTAGTCTATACTGTAATACTCACTGGACCTTTCCAGTGACAAAGGACAAGCAGTAACCTTAGGAATAAGAGGGTCACTTAGGAGCAGGGTCTAGAGGAAGCATTTCTGCTCCTAATCATCAAAAATACTCATGTGTGATTATTTTACTCATGTTGCATAGTCTGGTAAGTTCTCAGTCATGGCCTCTCTATCCTTACGTTAGTCACAATTTGAAAGCATCCATTGTATGCTCCTGTACTAGTAGATTTGAAGCCCATTTAGAGCAGCAAGTGGCCCCTGGTACTCAGTTGTTTTAGCACCATTAAGCAATAATAACAACTTTTTAAAGCTGTTATGAACATTTTAAAAAGTGTCTGAGGTCACTCCACACAAAGGCAAACAGCTATCACTTCTGAAGACACTGCTGCAGAAAAATCATTGCTTTCTATGAATGATCCTCAGGTGTCAAACATTTTATATTAGATCAGAGGAATATAGCATTCTCGAGGGACTTTCTTCCAAAATGAGTTTTTAAAAAGTTTTAAATCGTAAGGGAGTAAACTTCATGTATTAGGAAGTTCACTTAGTGATTGGATTCATTTCTATGATACCAGCAATAACTGTCTATTATGACTTCTGCCTACCCTTGCTCCAGCCTGGGGTCTCTGGATCAGGCTGTTTCATCTTGAGCATCCCGCCAACCCCACAAACAACCTGCTTGATCCCATTAGTAAAAGAAGACTGGAAATTGTCTTCTCCTGTCCCTCTTATCCATGTCTGGGTAGGGTGGGCCTTGAAACTAAACCAATACAGGTCTAAATCAGTAGAGACCAAGCTAGTCTCATAATTCCTTTGAAGCTGTTCCTGAACCTGTGAAATTAGGTTGATGAACCATTCATGGCCTTGTTGTTGTTAAGTGCCGTCGAGTAGGTTCCGACCCATAGCGACCCTGTATAGGATTTCCGAGGAGCAACTGGTGAGCTTGAACCTCCGACCTTGCGGTTCAAACAACTTTGCAGTCCAACACATTAACCCACAGTGCCACACCAGGACTCTTCTCTTCTCCTAGTAAGTTCTAAAACTTTATTCAGGCCCAGATCTTGCTCCTTACAGACTGAATTCTGGAATCTTTCATTAGACTCCTTCATTTATATAGCCTAATCCTCATCTTATGCTGAAAAGACCGGCCCCTCCCCCACCTACCAAGAGCCTCGATGTGGCTCTTTAGAGATGGGCACCTTGTAATGTCTATCTGATAGGACTTGGAGTTGCCTCATTTCTTTTATTTGGGCCTTGGTGATAATGAACGTGAGTGGCTGCTCCCTGATGCCCTACCTAGCCTCATCTGGACAGGACCCTCCATCTTAGTTTTTCCAGTCTGCCTCTCTTCCTGCCACCCGAGCTTCTGACAAAAACTGTTTGACTGCTTGCATCTTATAGAGCACACACTTGGTATCTTGAGTTTCATGCCCACTGTCCTGATGTGATGCTGTAGGATAAACACTGGACTGCTAGTCACAAGATTGGCAATTTAAACCCCCCAACTAATTCTTGGAAACCTTATACAGGGTCACTAAGAGTTGGAACCAACTTGATGGCACTTAACAACAATCTATAGGCACAGGCCTCTGAAGTGTTCCATGAGAGAGAATTCTTCTACCTCAAATCTGTGTCCACCTTCCAGTTGTCAATGCACCTAGGCAAAGGTCTAGATAGGATGAAGGATGAGGACATCAGGCTGCAGGTTATTATGAGTCGGGCTGCTAATCTCAAGGTCAGCAGTTCGAAACTACCAGCTGTTCTATGGGAGAAAGATGAGTCTTTCTGCTCCCGTACAGATTTACAGCCTCCGAAACCCTGTATAGAGTCATTATAAGTCGGAACTGACTCCATGGTACTTAACAACAACATGGGGAAGACAGGAGTAAGGGAGAGGGTGATGGAAGAGGAAGGGCAGGGAAATCAACATTCCTTGCTTCAGTAGGCCTGACACTGATTAGACCCAGAGAATTTTGACTTTGGGAGGAAGGGCCCAATGGGAAAACAGGAACCAAGAACTAGGTTCTCTGGAGCCCCTTCCCCAATCTCTGGAGAGGGTCTGTTCTGAAAGCAGCTCAGGTCTTCCCTGATGGCCAGGATACAGGCTCCTAGACCTGCACAGGGACCCATATCCCCTCTCGGGCACTTCCCCAGTTTCTTGCTCACTAGAAGAGAGAAAATACTAGTGCTGAATGGGTGGATGCTCACAAGCAGTAACATGGCCCCTCCACTAGAGGGGTGGTGGTGGGCTAGGCTAGGCAGGAAGAGGGAGTCCCGGAGAAGTAGCCTGTTCCTATGGAAGTGGGTTTTCTTGGGATGCTTCAGCTTTGTTCCTGAGACATCATCCTGACCCCCAAGAGCTCCTTCTATGTCCTTTCAAACTTGGACAGTTAGTCAAATCCCAGCGTTTTTTGCAGATCACTCTCTCCATTACCCTCCCTGGCTCTTCTTAGGTTTTGGCTGTTACTTGCCCTTCAGCCAGCTCCATTTTCTCAGGAGATCCAGAGTCTAGCCTAAAGCCCTGGCTCTCATGGACCCCCTTAGTTTGCTTGTCCTGCGGACTTTCATCCTGTTTAGAATTCACAGCTCGACTGCAACTGCTGATAGCATTCTTTCGAACCCAGTTTGGGCCCTCTTCTAGGAAGACCTTTTGGAGTTGGCCAAGATGATGCCAGCATCTTCACACCCTAAATATTTGTGATTTTTCTCTTCACTCATTTTTGCCTGTTTGAGACATTCTGGCTGAGAGTTCATTTCTCGCCTAGAACAGACTGTAATACGTGCCTGGTGGTAGAGGGTGAAGGGCAGGAGACATGGCTCACGTGTTTTACCAGGGACAGTCTGCTCCTGTGATTTGTGCTCTGGGAGTACTCTAAAATAAGAACTTTCTTGGCTGCATCTCCTCAGACTTCCAGCCTAGTAGTGAGTGAAGCAGTTTGGTGCTCAGTCCTGGCATCAGGCACTGTAGATCTGGCCCCCGGATAGTGTGTGGCAGTGGAGAGGGTTGGACGGAGTGGTTGGAAGCTGGATGAGAAGAAGGAAGAGTGAGGGCTCTGGAGTAAAGTGAGAGGAATACAGAGGCAGGGCTTAGGCTCACAGCTAATTTGCAGAAAAATTTAAAATTGATGATTCCTTTTTATTTTTTTATCTTGGCTTCCTGGGGAATGACCCAGCTATGTGACAAAAGCATTTACTGAGCTCTTTCTATGAGCCAGGCCCTGTAGGAAGGATTCTAGTTGACAAGACCTCAGGTCCGGCTTGAAGATTGGAATATCTCCAGTCAATTGGCATCTTGGTGCATAAGGTCACTTTTGGGTGGGGCTTTGGCAAGGAAGGAGTTTCCAGGCCTGTGATCCTTTAAAAACTAAACTTAAAAGACTCACCGGAATGGTGGTGTGGTGTGGGAAAGGATGGTGGTGGAGGGACTGTGTTCTCGCTATGTGCACAGGGGGCTCTGTGTGAGCACTCTTCCTACCTGAAGGACACCTAATTTTACAGCATGGACACAGGGACAATGGGAGGACCTCCAAGTGGCCTCAGATTGCAGGATAGGGAGGGAAGAGGTGGAGGGGAAGCTGCAGGTGCCATTGTGACCAGAATTCCTTGGGAAGTCAGGCCCCTTCCCTTCAGGCAAGCAGTGGCTCATCCTCCGCCTCCACCACCCAGACCTCTGGCTCTGCCAGTGGTAAAAGCAGCACATCATCCTCATCCTCTGGGGACAGGACTGTGTGGGGTCCAGGTGGGGTCCGGGTTGGTCCTGGGGTACGGAGACTGGGCAGGAGGCGGCCCCTCAGGACCTGTACCATTCCAG